TGTAGGTGTCCTACTGGGCATGTTTTACTCTTTCTCCTTTGGAGAAACTTTTTATTTTTAATAAATTTGACTTTGCTTCATATTTGGCTTCACTAATTTGGGCTTTTCCTGGTGGAGGTCTCCAAATAGAACGTCTTGCCTCTGTGGTATGGAACTGTGTTTCTATCTCCAGTGACAGTACCACAATAACTAATCTCAAATTATGTTGCAGAGGAATAGCAATAGAAGTAGCATGGTACTGTATCAAAAACTCAGAGAAATGGGCACATACAGCTATAGCCGTCTTAATCTTTGGTAAATATGCCAAAACATACCTGGAAAAAAATACCACAGCCTCATGCTGGATATGAAATTAGACCCATGACTCATCCTGCACAAAAATCCATTCAAAATGTATCAAAGACTTTAAGACCTGAAACTTTGAAGTTGCTAAAGGAAAACACAGGGGAAACACTTCAATATTTAACCAAAGCAGGGGGGTGGGGGATCTATGCCAACTGTGTGTACAGGGGATTAGTTTGTAGAATATATAAAGAACTGCAAACATTAGAGCAGGGCATGGTGGCCCATTCCTTGAGCTCAGCAGTTGGGAGGCAGAGGCAGGCATCTCTGTAAGAACCAGGCCAGCCTGGTCTACATAATGAGTTCCAGGCCAGCTGGGGCTACAGGGGAATCATGTCTCACAAAACCAAACCAACCAACCAACCAACGAAACAAACAAACAAAAGAACTGCAAAAATATAAAAAAAGAAAGAAAGAAAAGAAAATCTTGTAGTCAGTAAGTGAGGTAATGATCTGAACAGACAGTTCTCTAAGGAAGAAACACACGGCCAATAAATACCCTTGCCAACAGTGCAATGCAAATTAAAACTGCTTTGAGATTCTACCTAGTCAGAATGACTATCATCAGAAAAACAAAGGAGAACAAATGCTGATTGGGGATGTGGGGAAAGAAGAGCTCTTATTCATCCAGTGGAAATGTAAACTTGTGTAGCCAGCCACTATGGAAATTAGTATGGAGGTTACTCAAAAAACTAACCAAACAAACAAAATCCTCTAAAATAGAATTGTATGACTCATCTACACCACCCATGTGTGTATATGCCCAAAGGACTTTGTATCCTACCACAGAGATACTTACACATCCATTTTTTGCTGCTCTATTCACAAACGCAAAGAAATGGAACAGCCTAGGTACCTATCAACAGGAATGGATAAGGAAATTTTATATATAAGGGCTGGAGAGCTGGATCAGCAGTTAAGAGCATGGTCTGCTGTTACAGAGGACATGGGATTGGTTACCAACATCCACAGGATGGCTAACAACCATCAGTAACTCCAGTTCCAGGGATACGACACCCTGTTCTGGCCTCTGTGGACATTGAACAACATGGGTGCACTTACATACAGGCAATACACTCATACACATAAAAATAAATTTAAAACAAATTTAAAAAGAAATTTGATATATTTACAAAATGGAATTTTATTCTACCCTAAAGAAAACTGAAATCATGACATTGCAGAAAAATGGATGGACATTCAAGTGAAATAAGTCAGGCTCAGAGAGACAAATAGTGCATGTACTCTCTCATAGACAGAACAAATATGTCTGTGTGCATATGCACATGTGCGTATGAAGGTCATGAAACTAGATAGGGGCCCAGAAGAGAGGCAGAGATTTTTAAGGGAAGGGGAAAGGAAAAAAGGGAAAGGGTAATGGAATACATGAATTGTAATCTGAAAGCAGGAGGGAACTTTGGGGGCGTAGAGAAGGAGACTAGTAAGAGTGAGGCAGGGGGATGGAGGAAGACAGTGGGGGAGGCAGACAAATAAGAACACGAACACAGTATTAAAATGCCATAATGAAACATACTGCTTGTGAGACTGGAGAACTGGCTCAGTTTAAGAGCACTGTCTGCTCTTGGAGAGGGCCCAGGATCAGTTCCCAGCACCCATATGGCAGCTAACAACCATCCATCACTCCAATTCCAGGCGATCCAGCACTCTCTTCTGACCTCTGCAGGCACTGCATGACATGGGTACACTTCTATACATGCAGGCAATACACTCATACACGTAAAAATAAAAATAACAAAAAATATTTTAAAAATTGTTTAAAGCCGGGAGTGGTGGTGCACACCTTTAATCCCAGCACTTGGGAGCCTCAGAGGCAGGCAGATCTCTGTGAGTTCAAGGCCAGCCTGGTCTACATAGTGAGTTTCAGGACAGCTGGGGCTACAGGGAGACCCTGTCTCAAAAAGACCAAAAAAAAAAAATTGTTTAAAATCTCTATCAGGTATTCTAGAGAGTGAAGGTATAGGGGCTCACAAGACAGTGAGGATGCCCACTTTCATGGTGTTTTTACTTCTGGGAAGTAGATGGTGAAGGATTAATCACACAAGGCAGTTTCAGGTGGTGATAGTACTATGCATAGTACTAGTCAGTCCTTCAGATGAGGATCATCAGGAATATCAGTTCTAAGTAAAGGACAGCAGAGCTTAAAATAAGTATGAAGAGGGAAACTCTGCTTTCTATGACACAGGGGAATACTGTTCATGCAAGACCAGCAAGGTGGGAGTAGGACATCCTGAGGTAGGAAACACACCCATTCAGGAAGAGAACAGGGAAACAGAGTGCTAGGGGCAGTGAGGTAGGAAGGATAGGAGGTGAGATCATAAAGAACTTTGTAGACCAGGTGAGGAGTTAGTATTTTTCCCTAAAGGTTTATAGTTTTAGACTGATCATGGTGGGATGCTGTGTGTGATTTAAGACTTGTCTCATTTCCATTGCTGGGTGTGGTGGCACATGCCTTAAATCCTAGCACTCCAAAGGTAGAGGCAGAGGCAGGTAGATCTCTATGAGATCTATGGTCTACATAGCCAGTTTCTGGCCAGCTGTGGCTACAAGGAGACCCTGTCTAAAAAATTAAAATTAAAAGACATGTCTCATTTCCAAGTGTAAGTTGTAAAATACATTTTTCACAATTCCAAGAAAAATAGACAGCAACATGACAAGACTGGAGATGCCCCATTGCAGTTTACACTGCCTTGAGCACAGCACTCAGCCTGGAGGACATAGAGGGTATTCTGGAGGGACACGGAAGTTTAGATAAGAATGAACAGCCGTCCAAGTCTGGTCATCCAAACTGGCTGGAGCCCAGGAGGTGGCTCCCAGCTAAGGCTCTGCATCTGGATTAAAGGTCTCTGAAATGTGTACGGCAGGGTCACACAAGGCTTAATTAGCCAGTCAGTGACATGAGAATAACCAGGGATGGAGAACAGAAACACAATGGGAAATAAGAGTTGCTCATTCTTAGGGGGGCTTATTTGGTTCCCAACAGCATGGAAATTTTTATTTATTTATTTAATACATATATAAATTGAATAATAATTGAAGCAGTGTTCCAGACTCCCCTCACAAGCACATTAATGTCTCAAGGTTTTATTCACGGGCCTGTTCAATCAGAAGTGACAAAGATCTGCCCTGGCAATAAACACAACAGGCATTTCAGTGGTTTACAGCAACTAAGGGTTTCTTGTCAGTCACTTTACATGTTCATCATGAAGTAACGGGGAGTCTTATTTTCTTTCCCAAGACAAAGAATGATAGAACACACAGTCTATGGGACATTGATGACTGACATGGCAAAGAGCAAAGGAGTTCAGGAAAGGTCTTGCATCAAACAAAAGCAGGATGTGTCATGTATCTCAACCGTTAGGAGGCTGGAACATAGTTACTCTGTGCCCGAAAGCGAAACACCAAGCACCACCATTCACTCATCTGTAACCACGGGTTTTGCTGCTGCCTGTATACACTAATGTCAAAACTTCTGGGAGTGATGACCCATTTAATGGAGTACATATATTTTCAGCCATCTGCTGGAATGCCACATTTGGATGGTATCACAGTCATCTCAGACCTGGTGCATCAGGTTCACTTTTTGCAGTTTTAATAGTCTCTTGGTCAATGACTCCATGATCGATCTACTACGCGAAATAAAAATACTAGATTGTTATCCTTGACCCCCCCAACCCTGCTTTTCTAGCGCCAAGTCAGTCATCAAGTCTATAAACAGTGAGAAGGGGCCATCTGATAGTACGAGCCCCCAACATTTCTTTCCACGAACATTCTCCAGTACCCGAGGTATGGCGCTTGGCACTCAATAAATTGGGATAAGGAACAGACCGTCGAGTGGCTGCCTGGCTGCTAAATGACCAAGTTCTCTAGAACCCATAGGTAGACCTTGCTATCTGGGAACAAGAACTCTTCTTCTCTAGGGTAGCCCAAGACAGCTATGGGTGCGAGCGCCACAGTTCGGCCCGCTCGGATCAGAGGTCACGGGGGAAACCAGAGTCTGGAGCCCAGAGTCTCAGCGGTTGTGGCCAGGGGTCTCCGCGCCCGAGAGGAGGCGCACGGCCCGACACGCAGCCGGGAGCGCGCAGCCCCGGGTACCCCTTCCGCCTCGCCGCAGATCCTCTTTCCGCGGCTGCTCGGCCTCGAGACCGGGATGCCCCGCGACCCCTAGGCGTCCAGGCTGAGCGTCAGAGGGGCGTGACCAGCCGGCGATGGCTCCGCCCCCTCGGCGCACCCCGCCCCTCAGGCCGAAAGGGGCGGGCTCTGCGGGCGCCTATGGTCCGGAGCTGCTGACTCCGTGTGGGACGCTGCCCTGACCCCAGCCGTTCCCGCCCCGCGAGCGGATGCTGAGAGCCGAGGCCGGGCCGCGGGACGCCATGGAAAGCCGCTGGCAGGCGGGCGCGGCGCGGGCCGAGGCGCTGGCCGGCTGAGTCCGAGGCATGTGGAGCCCCGGCGGGAGCCTGCTGCAGGCGCTGCCTCGGGTCCTGCAGCACG